AAACCTTGCCATGCAAAACCAACACAGGTGGTCACTAAATCCTGGAAACTTCTGAAGCCTTTCATGGATAGCAGTAACAAAGGCAAAAATCTCCATCGTAATATATATGACCACATGCGTTTGAAAGAAAGGTTTTTGTTTGGTTTTGTGTTAAAGAAACTTAGGGAATTTATGTTAGTAGGGTAACAAAATGACCACCTGTATTAACAGCAGTGCTTACCAAGGGTAATTTCCTTTATTTTTTTTTAATTTTTGTTAAGAGGAGAAAGCAAGGAGTTCTGAGAGATTAGGTAATAGTGAAAGATCCTTTCTTTTCTTCAGATAAATATCTAGGGATCACCATTTTCTTTAAATTATATCTGAGGATGTTGGATGTATTTCTGAACTACTGTGTGAAGTTTCACTGCTGTAGCAACATGAATCTTTAATTCCTTATTTACAGCCAGTGCTGATTTCCCGTACAACGGTCAAGCTATAGGAGATGGAGTTAACAGAAACTCTGCCATTATTGGAGGTAGGAAAACCATCTACTTTTCTAAGCTACTTTGCAGTATGACAGTGACAGCTGAATTGCAGTTGGTAACATATTCAAGCTATTTGCTAAGAGCTGACTGTGTGGGGAAACTACACCTGAACAAAGATAAACAGAAATTTATGTAAGTCCGTTCAGGAACATTGTCCTAGTGAAATGGTTTGTTCTCACCTAGTTTGTCCCCTCAGATTCAGTTTTAACCAAATGCAAAATACTGATATTCATAATCCATATATTAAGCATCCACGTGGGGAGCTATTTTGCAGTAGTTGCTTCTGTTAACAGAGTGATTCATTCATAGGAAATGGCAAGGACACATTTCCAGTTACAGCAGATTCAACATGAATCTGTCAAACACTATTTGCTCTTGACAAAAAGTCCCTCGTGATCCTGTCTTGCTTTTTAGGGGCCAAGTTCTGCTGTAACTTATGTGCCGGAGACTCCCATTCAGTGTGATAGGTGATGTTAAGTAACACCAGAATGGGAACTTTGAATTAGCATTCAGTTGGAGACATTCTGGCCAGCTGCCTCCAGAAATAAGGATCCTGGTTAATTTTATGCACACATGCAATTTTCTCTGCCCTGTCCCGTAGTATGGAAGTGTTGCACCATAACTCTTCTGGGATAAATTTGCCACTGCATCAAATTCTGAAGGCATATGAAAAAAAAAATTGTAAAAATCAGCCTAATAGCTTTCAGTCAATTCTAAATTAATATCAAATGACATACTGATGGTGGGTTTTGTCATGTAAAGCAACACTGCTGAAAAGCAGTCTAATGGAATTTCCTGTTTCTTTTGCCTGCCCCCCGCAAGGGTCTATGTTTCCATATCCAGGTTTAGATTAGTTGCTTTAGTTTTGATTTGATACGTTACTGTTACTTTTTAATTTTTGTTTTTATTACTACTTTAAACTTTTCCTTAATACTTTGAAACTTTAAAATACTATAAGGATAGCATTGCATTCCTCAGAAAAATTCAGGCCGTACCTGAGCAGGCTGGCCATCTAACACATCAGTTTACAAAAGTGGCATAACATAATTCTGGCTGATTACAAGATTTTTTTAACCTGAGAATTGTATGATGTCTTCATTCTGGAAGATCCTCATGCCTGAGGAAAAAAGCCAAAAAAGGAATAGTGCTGGTTTAGCACATAGTTACCTATGCCTAAGAGGGTAGGATATATGAGACTTTCTCCATAACAGGGCTGAACTGCAAACAGACCATTGCAAAGGGAGCAATTAAGGATAGGTGTGATGATAAAGCAGCGACATCTGTAATTATGTGGAGCCAGCAACTATTGGGTGGAGTGAGCCACACAAATTTTCAAGGACATGTTGAGGGGCTATGATAGCTCTATATGGCCATTGTCTGGAAGGTATACATCAGTGATTCCATCCTCAAAGAGCTGCACAGGCCGTGACACATCACCCCCATGTTTTGGGAGCGCTCGGCACTCTCTGCCTCATGGTCAGCATAGCTCACCTCTGTAAGTAGGTATTAATGTTGAAGTTTACCTACAGGGTGAAAGTCACTAGCAGGCTCTACTTGGTCACATTTTGTATATAGCGAAAACTGTGTATAAATATTAGAGCAGTGGAAACCAAGTAACTATGGTGATGTTTAACTGCCCAGGTAGCTTCGGCTCAGCTAAGGAGTTGTGGGATCCTTTCTTTGTGTCAAAATCTGGTGCTCTCCTCGCTAGTGGTATCTTTTCTTTCCTCCTCTGTGTAGGTGTCATCGCAGTGGTGATCTTCACCATCCTCTGCACCTTGGTGTTCCTGATCCGCTACATGTTTCGCCACAAGGGAACCTACCACACCAATGAGGCCAAAGGGGCAGAGTCAGCCGAGAGCGCCGACGCTGCCATCATGAACAATGACCCCAACTTCACGGAGACCATCGATGAGAGCAAGAAGGAATGGCTTATCTAAGCCTACGGGGATGGGGCCTGGGGTGGGATATGAGCTGGGCCAGGGTGGAACTGGGATGACTCTTACAGTGGGGAGAGAACACTCTGCGTCGGACGCTTGAGCACATGTACGGTAAAAAGATCAGCACAACTGGAGGAGCAAGTGACAGGAAAATACCACTGAGACTGGAGGAAAAAAAAGAATATCTCAAGCATTTAAGAAAAAATACTTTTTATTTACAGCGAATTGCCCCTCCTGTATCCAAACAACTACAACAAAGAGCAGTGTTGCAGCTTCAGCACTGGTTAAAATTTTCAGTAATACCTGTCTATTTATGTGTGTGTTTAGAGGAAACGAGAAATGGGGCTGGTTTTTTACATTTTTTAAAAGCTGTTTAAAACATGGGTAGTTCTGTCCTGAGAACAAGTGGCAGACTTTTCTTCCCGGCGTTGTGTTCCTTCATGGCTGGCCACTTCCCCACAGGCTGCCCTCAGGCCTGCACCTTGACCATATCACCGTTCATTTTGGTGGCGTTGAAGCAGGGGTTCAGGGCTGGGGGCGGGACAGGGGCGTGAGGATTTATGCAAGTCATACTCACCAGTTTTTCAGCTTGTCATCAGCCTGTGCCAACCCTGGCAGGATCCATCTTGACCCAGGCACTTTGTTGATTGCGTACAATTCTAATCAGCAATGTAAAAATACTGTTATTATGACTACTACTGCTACCAGAGAGGATGATCGTAAAGCACAGGAAGCTTTGGGGTTTTTTTTCTTAGTATTATTTTGTTGGTCTCTGAGGGAGGATGATGCTGCGTGCGTCTGTAGACTAGTTTGTTCCTGTGTCTTTGGCTATGGCACTGGTGACCCAAGGCATGTGCCAGTTTAAACTCAGCTCTACCTGTGGCATATTGGCATATACTGTACTTAGGTGTAAGCATTGTAGTAGGGAATTAGAGCCAGGCTTTGTTTGCTGCTGTTTCTTTTTTATAGGCTGTCGCAGAAATATTCATACAGCTCTAGTCAATGCATTTGAACCCACGGGCTTCACATAATACTTTTTTTCAACTCTAGCATAGCAATTTATTCTTTAAATCCTTTGTTTCAGTCCATTTGTAAGGAAAGCCTCTGCTGGCAGTGTTTGCACAGGCAGGCAGGTGAGACAGAGGAGGCTTGGAAACTCTGCCCAGAGAGCGTGAGGAACACACAACACACAGTGGAGAGTTACTTTTCAATACAGAGATATACCTGAACTATTTTGCTGTCTTTGTAAGGCATTTTTAAGAATAGCAAGGCCAATGCCAAGCGCAGCATTGCACCCCATGTCCCCTGTCAAGCCAGGGAAGTTGTAGGTGTCGCCTGAGAAGCAGGAAGGCAGCTTGTAGGAAAGGCGAAGGGGCAGCCTGAAGACCTAATGTCCTTTGATGGCAATAACATAGCTTTAGCTTGCTCTCTGCGGAGGAGCGTGGTTCTCCAGTGCTCTGATTTGATAGGAATTTGAGGCCTTAAGGGACAGTTTTTGCAGTGGAACAGAATGCAGGAATGTATTGCAGGGCATTTGCTGTGTGCTAAAAGAAAAGCAACAATACCAAGAATTTCCCTTTAAAAGTATTTATGCTTGTGACAGTCTTAGATTTGCTTTATCTTTAACATTGCTGGGTTTAGTATGCATAGATTTAATCATTTTTCTGTTCAAGAAAGATTTATTTTTCACCCAAATCTGCAATCTACTACACTGAGCAGTGCTAGCATCTTTAATTTTGTTATCTTTTTGGTTGTATCTTTCATTATTCTAGTCAATGCTTTAAAATGAAAAAAAATCACGGAGAAGGAAGAAAATATTGGAGTCTTACCAGACAAAAAATTTATAAGCATAATTTGTCAGACAGACAAGGCCAGATAGTTTGGGTTTTAAGAACGGTAGCCTAAAATCCTCTTCTGGATTTATTGAACATAGATATAAGAGCAAATCAAACACATTGATTTCTTCTGTTTCTGGATTTGGAATTATCATACAAAAAAGTTGCCAGTTTCAAAATAAATGACTGTTTCTCAGGTAACATTATATGGCAGAGGGCAGGGATAGGGGTAGGCATAAAAATCACCTCTGTCACTCTTGTGCTCTGCAGTCTTTTGCCTTGCCTCCAGTATTAACCTCTCCCTCTCTTGTGTTTAATCGAGCAGATGAGTCCTTATTCTTATTTAATCGTGTGTGTAAGATAAGTCTCCACCCCTTGGAGAGTATCAGCATGGAATGGATCTAGGCTGCACCAGTAACTATTCCGCAAAATACATAGCAATCATGGATGTCTTTGTAGGATTGAAAAGGCATTCTCTTCTCTATATTATTTTATGTTTAATTTTATTTTAATGGTATTTTAGTCCACTCTGAAAAGTATCCTTGCCTATAACTTCAGGTTACCAAGAGAAATGACTATAGCATCATTCGCATAGATTGGGATTTGGTTTGCAGCAAAAAGTTAATCACTAATCTGAATTTAATATATGGGAGGAGGATCAGATTTATGTATCCTAAGAGACTGGAGTCTTCTGCTGCTTCATGTGGGAGAGACAGTCTTAGCAGCCACAGTGCAAATTTGCCAAATGCCTCAGGATGGCACCTAAGGGGAAAGACAGCTTGGTCTCTGTGCCTAACCGAGTCCTTGGCGAAGCTAGGGACAGTTGTCTGGGTTATGGTAGCGAGGCCTGTGATATCTACTCACTGATTTTCTAGAAGATTACCAGCTAATCTCCCACAACCCTGTAAGCAAGAATATCTGGAAAACAACCTTTGACCATTGCACAAGCAATAGTTGTAAATTAGTGTCTTAAATTTGAAAAACAGGTTTTAAATTTCTGAAATCAAGATGCAAGCATCTGCATCTCTCCACTGACTGGACACCGTGGATCTATTTATATGAAGTTCATTAGTGCTGTGTTAAAATGTTGATAATCTTCAATCTTGTCATTATTTTTGTGACACAGTCACTTTCGTAACTCTAGAAACTCTTTTAATTCTTAGAATTCTTGTTTCTTCTTAAACTGGACCCTAAGTATGATATCGTAGACTAGCAGCTGGTCTCTGTATAGGCATTTGGTGACTGTAGGTGAATTCCCGCCTGTCTGCTTTGTATTTCATTTTTGAGACTGGCATATGTTTAATTACAGGCAGTGGTCATTCAGCAGCCTCGCAGTGAAGCAGGAGCAGGCTTGGAGAAGTAGCGTGTATATTTTGCTAGCACTATATCTATTCTGAGGATTTGTTCCTCTGCAGGCCTATAACGGAGGTTGAAGCAACATCCATAGTTTACTTCACCCACTCTTATTTGTGTCAAAAATCCACGTTGTTTGCCAGGTACTATCCATATGCCTGTACTGGGAAAATCTGTTGGAGGGGAGAGTGAATCATGCTTTTATAAAACTCTCTACTTTCCCCAAAGAATATTAAAATAATCAATTTCTTACCACCTCTTTTTAGCTGCTTTGGCTATTTGAACTGTGCAGGAAAATGTAGCATCTTGTACTGGTTGGGGAACTGAAGTGTCCCAGTTCTGTTTCTAAAAGGCTCTTTCCTGATTCCATGGGAATTGATGGCAAAACTGCTGCCAGTGGTGGGGAGAGAAAGCTGGGGACTAGCTCTCGCAGTGTTAGTGAAATAATGTAAGCAATACTTCGGATCCTCATTCACAGCACATGCAGAGCACAAGGTAACGAGTTCTGGAGCTCCGGAGAGCCAAAATGGTGGAAAACTGATTTTGATGTCAACCCAGCCTCGAGGGGAAATCCGCAATCTAATCTGGTGGTTTTGAATCAGGTCTTTCACGCAGTGCTTATTCCATATTGATTGATAGAAAATTCAGATGTATTAAATAGGAATATGTATCTTTAACTGGTACTGGAGCATTTCCACTTTGTATTTTTCATGTCTTAAATGTTACCTATACCTTTTATATCTCTTCTAGCAGTTACCACTTCAAAGGTACGGCAGCATTTTAATATCATGCTCTAGGTAGCATGATGTATGTGAAAGGATGGTAACATAAATATTTTAGTAAGACTGCCAAACCAGTGGTGTATATGTACAAGTTTATTGTAGTGACAAGAATTCAGTTTAAGAGTCTAGTAAATAATTACATTTTAATAGCAGATGCATCTAATTTCCAGGGTATCTGTGGAAATGTGAAGCTATCTCAGTTTGACAAGCAAGAGCTTTTAATATGTTTTCTCCCTTGAACAATTTTACATTCCAGCAAGCATGGTGATCCTGAAAGGTTGTTGTTTTTGAAAAGTGGAACCTAAATTCTGTTAATCAGATTTCATTATCCATCCTAGAGAAATGAAACGGAAACCTTGCCTTCTAAAAGCAACAGCATGTAAACTAGAATGAAAGGAGGACAACATGTATATACACCTAATATCTTCTGTGAATGTCTTTCCTTTTAACTAAAGTTCCATTAGAAACCAGATTGGTAAATAAATAAATAAATAAAACCCAAACAAATGAGAGAAATACTAAATAGTTTTAATTACCTTAACAGCTGTTTCCTCATGTTTTGTATGTTCTGATCATTGTCTGTATTTTTTTCCTTCTCTAGTACCAGGAAATCAATTTGGAAAGGACAGAAGTTGGAAAGGCATCTTAAGAAAAGACCCACAGTACATAAAAAAGGGACTTCAGAACACAGTTATACATAAGAAGAGAGGGTGCTAAAATAAGGGAAGATTTACTGAAGTGCAAGTATGTTCCTCCTGCATCAGGCAGCCCTGATTATCTGTTACAGTGGAGAATCTCAGGCAGTGTAAATCTGTACTTGTTGAGGTGGGCTGTGGATCTGAGCGTAGGGTTTTGGTAGAAATGAAATGACTGCCTGTCTGAGGTTATTCCCTTTCTGATCACTTTGCAGATAGCAGCAAGCAGTCTGCCATCAGTTCTGCTCACATTTGTTATTGCAGGCTCTGTGACATTGCCAGCTTCACAGGAGTTACATACTACAAATGGCTGAGTGTGGGTTGTTTGCCTTCCT